AGAGGGCATGTACTGAATGGGGCACTGGGTGTTATACGCAAACAATGAATCATGGAACACTACATCAAAAACTAATGATGTAATGTATGGGGATTAACATAACATAATAAAAAAAAATACCTATTGGCAAAGGAAAAAAGAAAGAAAGAACTGTCTTGTTCATTGTTGTTTATATAAAGGTGCTCTAACATTTAAAGTTATCTAGAAAGGGTACTATGGTAATAACTCACAGGCAAAATTAATTTAAACAGGGATTGAATCCACTGGAGAAACCACATTGAACCCTGGGTTTCAATCCTGATCTGCTGATCCTCTGCCTCTCCCCATGTTTCTTAATCTGTCTTTAGTTTCTTCCTCTATAAAATGAAGAGATTGGACTAGATACCTCCCAAGGTACAGAAAGTACCTGTCTGTAAGAACTGTGCTAACTCAAACATTTTTTCTAGAACATTTATAAAAATGAGTGAATCGGAATTAATTTTCACTGATTTTTACATTCCAGTATTTAATTTCATCCCATTATTATTTTATTACTTTATTTAAAGAAATCACACAATAAGGTTTACTTTTCAGTAAGTAATTCCAGTATTATTAAGTATCAACCTACTTAATCAATATCAACCTAATCAATATCCTCAAGTGGATATTTGGACCACCCTTTGCAAGTGCCTCTCTGCCAGATGCTGAATAAATGGAGTGCAACATTCAGGCCACATGATCTCTAAGACCATCATCTGCACTTTAATGCAGGTGGGTGCAATAAATGTGAGATCTGATTATTTGGCACTGAGTCACTGGGACCTCCATTCATTTGAATTGGTGACATGAATATGTGTATCCGTGAGCTAATGAAAAATTGGGGAAAATATTAGTGACTTTGAGATAGCTCAGTTGGTTACATGAGAACTATAGAGTCTGGGCTTTGATGTCACGAGACACCTTTCATAGTTTGTGAGGATTAAATGAATACATACAGTGCTCCTAATAGAGTAAGTGGCAATTCTCGCATTGACAAGAATACCAACTTAAATTTAGTATTTTATTGAAGACAAAGGATAGTTTTATTTTTTATGAACTCTTTTTTTAAATTATGTTCAATTAGCCAGCATATAGTACATCATTAGTTTTTGATGTAGTGTTCAATGATTTATTAGCTGCAGATAACGCCCAGTGCTCATCACCACACGTGCCCTCCTTAATACCCATCACCCAGTTACCCCGTTCCCCCCCACCCCCTCCCTTCTGTAACCCTCAATTTTGTTCCTGGAGTGCAGGGTCTCTCATGGTTTGTCTCCCTTTCTGATTTCTTCCCATTCAGTTTTCCCTTCCTTCCCCTGTGGTCCTCTTTTTAATCAACTAAAAACAATGTAGAAAGAACAGACAATCTGTGGTTTTTTAAAAGTATAGGTAGCAACAAATGAGAGTGTTTGACATCAGAAGATTGAGGTCCCTGTGGCTTGTTTATTTATTTATTTATTTATTTATTTAATTATGTTAATCAGCATACATTACATCATTAGTTTTTGATGTAGTGTTCCATGGTTCATTGTGTGCATATAACACCCTCATTTGCTTTAAGTGATGATATATTTAACATA